GTTGTTGTTTGATGCTAGTATATTTCACACACACACCTGTAGTACATCCCTTTACTAGATTTTGCATTTAGCTAACTCCCCTTTTAAGATGGCACCTTTAGCTTACATGAATTGCCTTACTTGGCATACTGTCCCAGTGGTCATTTATTAATCCACAATCTTGTGTAGTTCCTTGTATACTGCTATCTACTGTTTGTAGTCTCCCTTCTTTAGCCATCTTGTCTTTGTCTGTTTCCCCACAGGCACACATGCACACACACGCACACACACGCACACACACACTCACCTGTATATAGCACCACTTGCTAGATTAGCCATTGTGTGTTTTTACTTTTGTTCTCTTCAAATAAATGTTTTGGAATATACCTGCTGGTCTGCTTAATACTGCACCAGAGTGAATGTTGCCAACCTCGACTCTGCAGAACTCCAAATCCCTCCGCTTTTACATAATCTTGATATGGTAATTATGGTTATAGTTATTAAGTCAACAATCAACATTGGCTATCTTGTCTCCCCGAATAGGATGGTGCCCCGAGGATAACTAAAGTTAATATTTAATATTTACATTTTTAATATTAATGTTTTTGTTAATATTTGATAGCCAATATTGATGCCTAGGGCACTTTTTATAACCTGATTTGGCTCTATGATTTTTGTTGAATGAAACTGCTCATCTGTTGCTATTTTTAATGTGTGGCTTTAATGAATGTGGCTTCTGCCAAAGCATGCTTCCATTAGAATGTCTTGATACAGTAATTATTCAATAAGCTTAATTGAAATGATTTGTTGCTTATAGATATCACGGTAAATCAAATTATTAAACAGAAAGAAGTTGCAAAATAAAAAAACTGTTATAGGTGTAACTTGATACTAAAAGGTTGCATTATGACATTTAAAGATGTTTTAATATACAATATATATGACCTGCAGAAGAGCAAAAACTTGATATTAACAGACTGTGGCTCCAGACTTTTTGTCCCCATTAACAGTCAGCATTGAATGATGGAAATAAGCATTCTTGCAATCCCAATCAAGTGATTTAAAAATTTTTTCAGACCTGTATATCTGCAATAAAAAAGCTGGCATTAGATGTGAAGGCTTACTCTAAAGGATTCAAAACTTATTTCATCTTCCCTGTCTTCCTCGTGTGTCAAGTAAGATAATAATGTAATACACATCTCCCCCTTTTTCTCTTCAGATCATGAAGGAGGTGTGTCGAGCTCTGGGTAATGCAGCTGCTGATGACAGTAAATTATTATTGCTCAGCTCTGTAGGAACTGTTTTCTGCAGTGGCCTGGAGCCATCCTACCTGATAGGGCGTTTGTCCACTGACCGCAGGAAAGAGAGCAGCCGCATCGCAGATGCTGTACGGTAAGAAAAAATCTTTCCACTATAAACACAGACTGTCTTATCACTTGCCATCAGACTGGACAGATTTGGTAGTGATTGTCCTGTGACCTCTTTAGGGACTTTGTGTTGGCATTCATTCACTTCAAGAAACCCATTGTGGTGGCAATAAATGGTCCTGCTCTGGGCTTAGGGGCCTCCATCCTGCCACTGTGTGATGTAGTGTGGGCCAGTGAGAGGGCCTGGTTCCAAACTCCTTGTGCAGCCCTTCATCTCACCCCCTCTGGATGCTCCTCTTACACCTTCCCCCAGATCCTGGGCGTAGCTCTGGTGGGTCCCAGCAATATCAAGGCTTTTGGCAAACTTCACTTAATCTAATTTGGTCGCTTAATCTAATTATAACCTCATGATTACCCTGTGTTTACCCAAATCAAAAATTTGGATAGCATGAAATGTTTAAAATACTGTGTAATTTCCCCCTGTCTCAAACGGCAGGCCAATGAGATGCTGTTCTGTGGAAGAAAACTCACAGCGCAAGAAGCGTGTAGTCGAGGTCTGGTGTCACAGGTTTTCTGGCCAACAACATTTAACCAGGAAGTGATGCTACGTGTGAAGGAAATGGCGTCATGCAATGCAGTGGTAGGTCCTGATCTAGACAAGCCAGAAGGCGAAGCTTTCTTTCGAATGTAACCAAATGACCGTCTCCCCTTTCTGTGTGTGTTTGAAAGGTTTTAGAGGAGTCCAAATGCCTGGTGAGGAGTATCCTCATGTCAGTCCTGGAGGAAGTGAATGAGAAAGAGTGTCAGATGCTGAAGCAGCTGTGGTGTTCAACCAAAGGACTAGAGGCACTCTTCAGTTATCTGCAGAACAAGGTGTATGAGAAGTAACCATCCACACTCAGGACACCAGGGTCAGTGAAGATCTGACACTACCTACAGAGGGACATCCAGGATGATATGGTTCTGATCTCAAACTGAAAGATATTAAGGGCCTTTGTTTCCATCCATCAGCAGAGGGATACTCTGGAGTTGTGTTTTCTTACATCGCTACCAAAAAAAAAAAAAAATCTTCATCATCAACATTAAAAATCCCCTTTTTTTTTTTTTTATTGGACCCACAACCGTCCAGATGTTTCTTCTCTTTTTAAAGAGTCAAAGAGAAAAGGGCCAAATGTGCATTGCTTAAATGCAGGGAGGTACAGAGTGTTTCTGCACCTATGCCAGACTTAATCATCAGGATGTATGAAATAAATGTATGTCTGAAAGCACATGATAAAGTGATGATAATATATATAAATATATATTTATTTCAAGTGTGTAAAAGAGTTGCTTTCTGTATATAAGATGCATTTTAAGAATTTTCTTATAGTTGCTTCTTGTTTTGAGTTGAAGTGTAAACCAAAGTTTGAGGACAATGATTCTTGCTCCTTAACATACACATTCCATCCACTCTGTATAACAGAAGACAACTACTAGAAAACTGGTTACAAATGCTCATACATGCTCACAACAGATTCACAGACAGCTCAAAGAAAACTGATTTTTTTTTCTCTCTTCATCACTTAATTCATTATTTATACTGTAAAAGTCTTTATTACACAGAACAGACATCTCGTTTTCCAGTGACTTTGTTATCATTATCAGAATCACCAAAACTTTGCTTCCGTTACACAAAATCAAAATTAATGCTTATGTACTCATAGTGCATTAGTACATGCAATATCATTCTGTCAATATCCATCTGTCTTTAGTTATTTTTACAGCTACAACATAACAGATATGGAAAGAATTTCATTTAACTTTTATTAATACAAATTTTTCTTTCAAGGGAAACTTGTTTGAATTGAAAGGTATGTAGAAATATTTTGGCAGAAATGGAGAACACTGGAAGGTTTTTGTGAATGCTGGCACTAAATACAATTGTGTTTGTTCATAATCAACTGGCATTTTGGCTTGAGTATAAAATGACTTTAGATGATTAAATGAATTAGCGGCACATATCACATGGAAGGATTAGCGATGAATTTTATCCCACTTTATCTGAGCTACATAATAGCTTTACATGCCGCACTGTGGTAGTTCATACATAAAACGTGGCTTCCATTTATCAATGCAGATAGTCAGTGATCAATATTGTGGAAATGCAACAGTTGTGTAGCCGGAGTCGACTTTGTCCTTATCTGCATGTGATGATTTAAGATTTCAAGAAATTTTATATTTGGATGTGTACTATAGTTAGGGATCTATTTTGGTTTACCAAAAAAAAAAAATGTAGTTCTGTGAAAATTGTTTTGTAAAACTCAGAAGATATTTGTGCATTTTTGCAGTTGTACACATGCAGTAAAGAATAATATATAGATAATGTAGACTGTTTTGTGTAACTAATTGCATGTAATATACTGTACATATAAATGTGTTGCCTGTCTGAGTACCTTGTATTTCAGGGTATATTTTGTACCAGCATTGTAAGTATTGTTAGAAATGTTGCAGTTTATTTTTGTATTTATTTGAGATAAATGTGTGGACGTGCTGTGCCATGTGGTTTCTTTCGCTCCAGAGGCACCCCGACCCTCCCAGTCAACCTTTTTAAATTATCCCATAAAAACTTTGATGAACAAAATGGGTCAGGAAAATGGATAATTTATACACATGTAATTTCAAAACCAAAATGTTTAAACACTGTTGTCACTTGAATGTTTACATTTTCATTTGACATTATCAGATTAAGTATGTTGTTGTAAATTATCAAATGCTTGTCAGGTAATTTAACAAATAATATTATGTTTTACTGAGCTTTATTAGTATAAACAGATGATTGATAAAATGACCTTTATTGTCTTTCAGATTTGTCATTTTCATGCATATGAGACTCTGTTAATGCTCCATGACGTTGTTAATGATTTTATTTCTGGCCGTTGCAGTTTGATTGCAGTGAATAATTAATGGCTTGAAGCGTTTGTCAACATTTTTAAGCCATTAAACACTCTAACTCTAACTTTGTACATCTAGTAAGACAGGATAAAAGGATAATCAGCTGCAGAGATTCAGCTCTTAGAATCAAAATTGTCATGTTCTCACAGGCAGCTTGGCAGGTTTGTAACCAAAAACTCCATTAGGCTTAAATAATCATTCAATTTATTTATTTTTCATAATGAAAGGGTTCCTACATTCACTTCTTCACCTATATTCATTGTCGATTGGTAAATAACATTTAATACCCCCATTATTGCTTTAGGGCCCCAAGAAGAGGTGATAGGGACCTGTGTAATGTGGCTGCGAATACAAATTACTCAGGTCGACTGAGTGTAAATCACACTGATCCTTAAAGAAAGGGGTCTTTATGTATTTATTACTTTATTTATTTTAATTTGTAAGATACTATAAATTCTTTTCAGTGTGTCATCTGAGATAAAGAATGCATTTTTTCAGTTTCACACTATTGGTTTCTGTCTAAGGCACCATATCTTGATTCCCACCTAAGCATGTGTTTGAAGTGTGCTTGATTATAAAATTTGATGTTTATCAGTTATAACTTAAAGAACAAACAAAACTTACTCCTGTTTGCTTCATTATTTATTACAAATGACAGCGTTTTTGATAGGTTTCTGTGTTTTGTCTTTTACAATCACAATATCTTGCATTGTCTCATGTACATTTTTTTTTTTCTCCCACATTGTCTCAAAGCACATCTTGGGGTGCCTTACAATTTAAATATCTGTCAAATATTGATCCATACTTTGTGATGGGTAGAGTGAGCTGCTTCAAATAAAGAAACAGTACTTTCACAATGTGTTTTTTGTTTTACATTTCTGAAAACAGTATAGTAATAGTGTGAAAATAGATGTTGACAGTCATGACTGTGATACCGCAATAATTTACAAATCATTATTTAGATATGAAGGAACTGAGCTTCAGTCTACATTTTGAATCCTTTGCTGGTCACATCTTTCAGTCCTATTGTCATTTAACTTGGAACAGTTGTTGGACAGACAGGGGCTTGGCATTTCCTGTGTAGGTTTTAAGGAAGTAAGAGTCCTTCTAACTGATCTAACAGATCTGCTGCAATCAGTTTTTAGTGTTGTAGCCTTTGTTTGATTTTTGGAAAAAAAAAACAACAACAAAAAGACAACCTTTGGAAAGGATATTGAATGTGATAAAGATTATTCAGCCTTAAAGGTCCACTTAGTAATGATTCTGAGCCCAAGCAAGCAAATGGCTCAGGTGTCATCTTGAGACCTAAACATAAACTTTCAGTCACAGGAACACAAACTTATCAACCAAGAGCCAGTAGACAGCTGAAGAGAGGTTTAGTGCATCCTTCCACAACCTTACCAGCTGAAGTTAGAACATTAACCATTTTTAATACCACATATAGAATTCAATACCTGTTTTAATTTTTAATACCATACCAGCCAAAGCATGAAGGTATGACAAGTAGGTACTTTTTGAGGGCTTTCAAAGACCAGTACATACCCTGATTGATACTTAGTTGTTTCAGTGTTTTACAATTACACAACATATCAACTTAACTGATTATATCTCTTTATTTGGAATCAAACTTCTCATGAACCAATAATTTCCCCTTTCAAATAAACTTTCAAACAACAATGAATATACTCAGTATGTATGTACTGTGTACTGACATTGAGTGTAACCCAGCCACGGGTCTCTCTTTTGTTTTTATATGCATCTTTTATACCCTGAAATGGACTCTCCATGTTTTTATGAATCACTTTCAGGTACCAGAATATTCCTGAGGTGTCCTGCCAACTAAAATAATGGTTGGATGAAAGGCTTCTGCCACCAGCTTCACTGATCTCTTTGATGTGGTAACAAACTGCTAATATAGGGGGAATTAATGAGGATCAGCAGCCATTTTTATTCTAAAGTACTAGATGTTATTGTTTTAATGATGACCTAAAATGTTCTGGAAGGTTGTAGGAGGGTTCATTACACAGTAAATACAAGAATAAGCTGTACAACTTAAGCCAGGTTTGTCACTGCTGGTATATGATCCTGACATTTAAATTACCTGTGATTGTGTGTGTCTCTCAACAGATCAAAATAATAGTAAAGCAATAATATACAATAATAACAGCACCTTGAAGTAGCTGATGTACGCTACCAAATCACACTTAGACCTGTCACTCCTGATATAACCCACTCACCTCTGAATTTACAGAGACAGAGTCACAACCTTCGCTCTGTCTTGACACAAAAACAGCAGGGGAGGCATGTTACACAGTGCCAATGCTTAAACTAACGTCCCAATATCTGAATACTTCTAAACTGCACTGCCAGTGGAAAAGTTGCAGTAAAATGTCCTTCAGATATGCTCCTTGGGCCCTTCTTTCAGCCTCCTTTTCATCTCTTGTGCATGCTGCTTGCTGCGCTCCCGCTTTTCCAGTCTCTGTTGAATGGTAAGGAAAGAAAGAAAATATGAATTAAAAAGCTACATATATATATGTATATATATATATATATATATATATATATATACCACCCAAGGTCAGTAGTCATAGCGCTTGTTGTGTCTTATTCACAAAGTGCAAAAAAATAACTGACAGACCTCTTTCTTCAGGCACTGACGCATTGCGCGGTCCATATCATTACACGTGCCAAAGAACTTCATGACATTGTGCTGAGGGTAACATGAAAGAAAATTTGAATAGTTTTGTTTTCTGTGGCTGTAGAGCACACAGCAATACTAGAATTTAATGAAAAACCTACCTCTGTGTGGCACTGCCTCAGATGACTTATTAGTTCATTGCACTCATCCGTGTGCAGGTGAGGTGACAGATCAGGATGCATTCTGAGTTAAGGGTTTACTGAACCACTGCCGCAATACTGAAAAGCCACAAACAAGAGGAGCACTGATTGAGAAGCACCAAGTTGACAATAATGAGAATATTATAACAGATGGGATTTGGTGGTAATACATCTTGAAGTGCACCACATGCAGCTAAGTTTACCTTTAAACACAGTTTTGCTTTCTGCTGTACTGCACTTTTCCATTATGTAAGACATCAAATCTACACACTGAGTCTGAGTTTTGCCTGGTTAACAGTACAAAAGCAAAAGAAAAAGGGAGAATAACAGGATATCTTGTCTGAGAATCTGGAACTGGTACTATTTTTGCTTGATAAATGGCTTAAGCAATTGATCGATTTGAACTAAAATGTTGATGAATGCTCTGCTACAACCACTAATTAATCACTCCACCAGTTGTTTCAGCGCTTCTTTCTTTACACTATGTCATCTCAGCATTGTTAATTAGACTTTTGCCAAGGACATGCCAAGGATACTAATGCCTCCCCATCCCTCTCCTTCCTGAGCTGTCATTGTGATGATGAAGTTTATTCTTCCAGTGGACACTTACCTGCAGACACAGAGAGGAAGAGAGAGAGGGGAAGAGTATATAACACTGGGATAAATACAATACCGTGACTTTGTAAACGACCTGCATCAACACTGAATCCTCTGGATTCATGTGAACAATATAGCACTCACTACAAGACTCTGGCTCAGGATACATGACTACTTAAATAAACTATGGGGTGTTTTGACATTTGGCACTGAGCTGAGTTTTGACATAGCATTGCAACAGAATACCTTGGTTTATACATAGTGCACATCTAATAATAATAACAGCGTGATACCGTTTACAGTAGAAAGGCTGGGTCACCGGAGAAGTTTTCCTGCACACCTCGGTGAAATGTCACGCCAGCTAACCGCTAGCTGTCAGCTAGCATTGACAATATAAATCCATGAAACCACGGAAGACCTACGAAGGGCTTCGTCTTCTTTCCTGTTGAGTAACGCTCAGGTTACTGTAATGCTTCTACAGTGTCGACTAAATTTGTTGTACTTGTACTAACATCAATATAACCTACAAAAACAACAAGGTCCCGTAGGACATGCTGCCTGTTACAATGCTGAAGCTTTCGTAACTAGTTGATAGCCAATTAAATGACAATATTCAGCAACGAATCGGCATCCGCTTTTTTTCTCAATCCACCAATGGCGTGCGTTGTTCTCATAAAAGGTGGGACTTCTAATGGCGGAAGTTTACACGAGACACAAGAGGTTTGCATGTAACGTACGTCCGTGTTTGCTTCTGGATGCATTTGACGCTTGGCCACTGCGTCTTTTCCTTCCCTTTCCTTTTCTTTTTTCTTTTCTTTTCTTTTCTTTTCTTTTCTTTTCTTTTCTTTTCTTTTCTTTTCTTTTCTTTTCTTCTAGCTAATGTTGTTTTGACAACTATGTACACTGTGTATCCTGTCTTATTTTAGCTAAAGGTATTTGTGATGACTGGTGGAATTAATGGGCATTAATGATTCGTTTTCATATTTCCACTTAACATTTCTGCTTTCGTTTCTCAAAAACAATTCAGAGATGATAGCCCTGCTGCTCCAGTAGTAGCTGTAGCTGTCAAATAAATTTAGTGAGTTAAAATATATAGGATTTAGAAAGTAGCAGAAATGGAAATAGGTCACCCAACCTCCACATTAATACACACTCGGTGACCTCACATTCAGACAATGGCATATAACAGACAAGCCTTGTTATCTTTCTATGTGTCATTAATTCGCAAGATGTAGCTTTACTACAGATGTCACTGCAGCTCATTAAACGAAGCAACTAACTAAAAGAGAGGGTAAACTCCTGGTAAACATATTACATAACTACTTATTGTCTATTCACCTGTTTTGTGTGTGTTTGGGTCCCCACCCAGCCCACTCTCTCCCCAGAGTTCTGTATAATTAACACATACACAAAATGCAAACAAACAAACATGAATGTATACGTTACTGAATCTCTGTATCTTCAAACACACTTTTTTTTATTACCTGTGCCATGGAGGTTATGTTTTCACCCATTTTGTTTGTTTGTTTGTCAGTCAGCAGGATTGGAAAAAAAAAGAAGTACTGAACCAATTTGCACCTAACTTGGTGAAGGGGTGGGGCATAGGTCCAGAAGAACCCACTGAATTTTGCTGTGAATCCAGGTAGAAGGACAGATCCTTCTTTAATCACTTTCCTTAACATTGCAATATAAATCTTGATGTAAAAAAAATCAAGTGTATTAATGTAACACAATTTGTTGCAGATCCAGATAATAATCGGGATCTGACTGATTGTTTGGCATTGGCAGAGGTTTGCACTCTACTGAGTGTCATTCTAGTTATCAAATGCACCTCTGTTTCTCTTTATCAATGTAGGAATAGAGAGAGTGTAGACAGGATTGCAGCAAGTAATGGACCTTATAGAGTTAAGCTAACATTATCAGTTTAGTGAAGCTTGGTAATAGGGCTCCGTCAACTATAAATTTTAGTTAATAAGAAATATACTTTTTTTTAAACACACATTTTTAAACATATCCACATTAATTATATTTAGCTATAAAGTGTAAAGATGTATCTTACATTTAAATTCAGTATTTACTTATTTAAATTAAATAAAATGGCAATTACTGAATAATACCTAGTCACACGTTCATATAGATCAGTGGTCCTCAACCTTTTTCACGTGACACGTTATCACAGGGTGCATGTCTATGAGGTTGAAGTTCAAAGAATGATTTCCCCTATTCAGACTTTTTGTTTAGTGTTAAGGGGTGAAACTGTGACGTTTTTCAAAGACAAAAAGCAAAGATTAAAGAAATGTTTGACAAATAGACATACTGTTGTGTAGCAGAGCTTCTTCTTTCCTTTTTTGTACTCTACTAATCATCTCAGTGTTGTACTGTATGTTCTTTATTTTATCTCTGAGAAAATCTCTGTTGTTTTTAAAATATTTTATCTTCTTCTCTGTTTTAAATATATTTTTTATGTTTTTATGTTTTTTAATGACAGATAAGTGAGTCAGATAAAGTATTATAATTTTTATAAAATGCTCTATTGGTAAGATATACCATGGAGGGGCAGCTACAGTAGTAGCTAACAGCAGCTTCAGTACTAGATTATTACCACTCCAACTCAGCAGGGGGCGCCGCAGGAAGTGCGCGTAGATTTTCTATTAGTATCTGATTGGTCTATTCGTGTGTTCTTTTGTCGGCGGTTTGTTTGGATTTTCTTAACTGCACCAAAGCCTGGCTCTGACTGTACCGTGCGTGTTGGACAGAGCCAAAGGTTTTAATTAAACTCAAGAATTATCATACAATACAATTAGTTTTCGATTACCGTGAGAGTAAGAATGGATAACTCTACTAGACGCTTACTGCAGCGACTTATGAGACGGATACCGACTCCATTGTTAAAAACTACGCTGGAGAAATGGGGTCGTTTGACGGTGGCTCAGCGACAATCCATGGATTTTACTCAGCCGAAATGGGCGGTAACGGAGAAACTGCTCGCCATATGTGAGGTATGTAGCGTGTTTCTTAAACATTAATTGTGTGAAATATACAGTGTAAAAAACGGCAACCTGGTAGTTGGCTGAGGGCATGTTATTTATCAAAATACTTGCTGAAATGGGTCAACTTTGCCACGTTAATCTAATGACATTTGAAATTTACTGTTTGTTCTCGATACTTTTCAATATACATTACATAAATTGCACTTTACTAGTGTTTTTGTGTATTTCCTTTCCTTGAACCTCCATTCTTTTGTCTTTTTCTACACAGGAAAATGAGTGGACAGCTAAACAAATAACAGAACTCGAGATGATATGTAAGTCAAGTGTAAGTCATTTGGGCTTGAAACCATGTCATCAAACCATTAACGCTTAATGTGTCGCTTTTGTTTCATTGTCTCTCAGATATCATTGACAATCCAAACCAGGGGATGTGGTATGCCTTCCAACTCATGGACCCTGAAGGTATGCAAAAATAAGAATATGTATCTTGTACAACGGAGGGCTGGGCGTCTGCAGCTTTGTGCTCTAACCTGGTGGATCAGGGTTTTCTTTCTGGTTTGCACACTTAATCAGTCAAAAATCCTGCTAGAGTCTGGGTCATCATGTATTTTACACTTACATATAGCAAGGTATATACTCTTTGTCTGTTTTTCTGGGGAATTCAAAGCAATATTATAATTGAGTTGAGTTTACAACTCAAACCCATATTATTATGTTTATGGCTTTTACTTGTGTCCCTTTTAATGTACATTCAAAATTTTCTTTGTTTTCCAGATGATGCTCACTCTGTCGAGCTGATGCAGTTTAAGGAGCAATTCAAATCTCACCTCAGTGAGCTCGTAAGACATGTAAGTCCTCCTCATAAAATCCTACCGTTTATACAGTTGCATCATTAAAATATATTTAATGGGCTTCTCTTTGTTTAACATCCTATATTAAAGGTATTCTTTTGACATTGCATTCAAGGTCTCTGTCAAAATAAAGAAGCACACAGATGAAGCTGTATGGATTCGGATTGCTTGGGGAGACAGCTTATCTCGGCCCAACCACCTGAAACCAACATATGTTGTCCACTATCTTCAAACCCCCTATGTCTTTGTGACCAGCCTGACTTCAAAGCAAAAGCCACTGTTATCCCAGGTGAGGAGTGACTTTCATATTTAATCTTGACTTTGTCCAGTTTCCATGGTATCTGTTTTTTTCTGTCTTTCTATTTTCCACTAAGAGAGCGATGTACTTTGCAGGCCCTGGTTCTGTCCACCAGATATCATGCTATTAAGGATGCTAACCTCAGTGGACGGAAACTTACTGCCATTAGGGACCTGCTGATGAGGCAATATCAACAGGTAAGCCTGCTATGATTGTTTTTGTTTGTTTGTTTTTTTTGGGTGGTGCTGCTGCCAGTTAGCACGCTGAGGAAGGATGGATGCCCAAAATGTACTTCTGAGCTTCGATTTTTGCCTATTCAGCACCAATCTATATAGACTGAATTTGAACATGTTGAATCATTACTCTGCTCTGTCACTGAACTCTTCATGTGCATTAAAGCTATGTTGTGTAATAGTGTGAGGAAAGGTATTGACCTTGATGACCACCTGTTGAAGACAATTATAAATTGCCATGTTCACCCTTTTTGCACTTCATCTACACTCTATCTACTACTCATCTATTATCTATTGAAAATGTCAATTATGTTGCAGAACTATTTCCTGGTTCTAGTTTGACCTTTGCACTTAGATTTTGACTGCAATTAACAGTGTTTTCACTTTCAGATGAGTGGTTTAGATAATAAGGTTTATGTGGAGGTTTGCTGTAATCTTATTAACTGTGTGACTGTTTGGATATAGTCAGAATTATAGTACCACCACTTGGTATAAACTAATAAAAATAATAAGAATTTTTGACAAGTCACAGTTGGTGTCAAGGGGGCCACTGTACAAAGACCAACAAGTGTTAACTAATTATAACTCTAGATAAAGGTTTTCTTGTGAAAAGCCCAGCTGAGGAAGCCAGTTGTTTATTTTTTTTACAAAAGATTGAGCTGATGTGTATTGTAAATTTTGGTTTGGAGTGGATTCTCACTTCTCTTGTTTGCTTCTAGGCGTTTCCCACTAAATATCCCAGCCCTCTTGCAGAAAAGAATCACACTGTCTCAAGTATGTTTATCAAATCTTTCGATCTGAGTTTTATTAATATTTTTTGTATGATGCCACACATATATATTTTTTTAGCTTTATATGTAGTTCTGGTTAAATTCTGCATTGTCATTTTATTTATTAATTCATTTTTTGCTTTATTTGTATTTATAGACCCACGCATAGAAAGGGAACAAGCTGGGCTTATAGCAAACAGACTTCAGATGGCCTGTGAAGCCTTCGGTGATGGGATGTTACCTCAACTACAGTCTGCTGTTTACAAGGTACCCTGAGACATGCTTGTGTTTAAATTACTGAATGTGTTGAATAAAAGTAGAATAGTAATTAAATATCAGAATCCAAAAAACAAATGTTTCAACTCACTGTCTCAGTGCAAACATGCAAAAACTCAGCACTAGTCTGTGCTGTGATCATCTGAATAGTGTTTATGTTTATCTTTCCTCAGCTGGAGACAAAATTCAAAGACCACACCAACAAGACCATGACAGAGCGGGATGAGCCTTTCAAATGTGTTGTCAAATTTGCAAGCACCAACCTCCTGGAGTCACTCAGACACTGTGCATCCTCAGGTACAAGGAATTTGTTAGTCACAGACATTAAAGAAACCATTTGTGTCTTCACAAGGAAATGATATAATAATAATATAATTAATATTGTAACTCAGTGAAACAAAAAACCATTTTGTTTTATATTACTTGCAATTCCACATTTGACCACAGGGGGGTGCATACACTCTAGAGGAAATATCAACATTGTGGTGCTCTTAAATTGTTCTTTAAGAATAAGTCATGGTCAGTTGTTATTTATTAGTGTTATATTATGAGAAAGTGTTTCCTACTTCTCAACTATCCTTTGAGAACTTTGGTACATTCACGAATGGAGGTGGAAATCAGTAGCAACAGGTAGAGACCAGGATATCTTGTCAAAGATACGGGACACATGCATCCCAATACCCATAAATGCTTCCAAATGTTTTTTCAGTGGCATATTTTCTCACAAGTGGTAGTTCCTCCCATCCAGGAAAGATACAAGAGATTTTGTGCGTAATGTCCTTTGCTTCTGTCAACAGTAACCATCTTGTACAAGAATGAGCCCTTACTACTATGGATTTCTCCCTGTATTATTGTTGTCCAGACAAATAGCTGTGATTAACTATCGTGTCAACAAAGTCATAAATACATTTTTTCAAGTCAGTTCAACTAATCTAATGTATTTTTATATTTTACAGGGATTGCATCCACTCCTGTCACCCCTCTGCTCTCATCTATTCCTCTTAAAGGAAGGAATTATTTTGTCATCACAGACAATGGCCCGAGTCCCCCCTCACAAATGCATGCATCACAGAACTGAAAGGTGAATGACCCTTGATTTAAAGGACTAATGATTTTGCCTGTTCTTACTTCTGCTATGTACAGTCCACCTATGGTTTGCTTTTACTATTCTATCATTGATCTTTTTAACACAGCTCTTGAAGAGTCATGGCTCCCTGGACCTCAGAATCAATTAATGTTGTCTTCTGTCTTTATGCGCTTGCAACTGTAAATATACATGAATTTAGCAATAGATGATTGTCATTTTATTATCCTTTGTTGCTGTTCAGGTGGCAGAATGTTTCTGCCACCAAATGTTATATATGTCCAAACTGAATATAAAAGTAGATCTCTTAATCCTCTTTAAGTTTGTAACTTATGTCCCCTAAAAGTCCTTTCACCCCACCCATTAGTTCTCATTCCATCTCTTTTCAGTGTTTTTCATCACCTATCATCCAATGAAAGGTCTGCTGGGAGTGAACTTTAAGTTCACTGCCCATACATACTTTGAAAGAGCTATTGGTTTATTCTGTCCATACTGGCAGCGGTTTGATTCCCGGCTCCTCTTGTCCACATGTCGAAGTGGCCTTGGGCCAGATACTGAACCCTAAATTGCCCCCCATGTGTGTGAATGTGGCTTGTAGTGTAAAGCATTGACTAGAAAAGTGCTATGTTAGTGCAGTCCATTTACCATTTAACACAACTAAGAGATGGTTTACTAAATGAACCCCAAAGCCAAAGCTGATATGAGGCTTCAGCAGTATGAATTAGCCAAACCAAGTGGGTATCATCAGTATCATCAAATCACAGTCTGTGTGCTCCAAAGTCCCTCTTTTCTACCCCACTTTACAGATTATCTCATAGACCTTTGATGCCACCCAAAATCGAAATCATAAAAATCAAAACATCTTTTTATCTTGCAATGAACCTAACCATTTTTAATAAGGATTGTAACAAAAATGATTGGGACAATTTATGGTGGATAGGCTATGTGATGGCAACACTTTCTATGACATCTAATCTATAATTAGAGGCAGATAAGCCAATGTTGGCCAGTAATATCAGCACAGCCAATGTTTTGGTCATGTTCTGCTGACAACACTTTGGTTCATTTGTTAGAGCTAGGTAATAGAATTGCTAAACTGGATAGTATTTCTTTATTTTTTCATCAGCTGTAACCCACAATGGCCAGTGTAGGGTTCAATCAATACATGTACTATAATTTATTTTTAAAACAATTTGGGTCAGAGTAAGAAAAAACACGTAGACTCTGTGCAGGGCACAACAATGTCTTTTTAAACTGTCACCACACACACTATACCAATATCAGAAAAATAAGTTTTATAGTAAACTTTAGATCTTTTATTTTGTAAAACGGAAGTATACTAATTACACCGGAAGTACCTCCGCTCTCTCAGCTGTCCTCTCGAGTGAAGGTGGCACAACAGCCTTTCAGGCAAAACTGAGGGACGGTATGCTGCCGTTCATTCAATGCTGCTACCGGGGCTATCAGCCAAACACAGAATGGACTGTCAACACAGAAACATGGCTGCCTCTGCAACGGGCAAGGCGAATAACAGAGATAACGCTATAACAGACAGTCCGAAATGCAATGAAGAGTCTCTGTCGCAGTCACGGGAAATAATAAAACCCACTATCATGGAGCTGACCAAAGAAGTGAGGACGAACATCCTCTGCACCGTGGAAGGATGTGGCAAGATTCTCCCCAACACACCTGCGCTGAACATGCATCTTGTGAAGTCACATAGAATAAAGGTAAACGCTTACAAAACCTGGTTAGTGTCCACAGGGTTTAGGCGTGTGCGTAACTGCAATGCTAACTTGGCTAACTCACTATCGAGTAAACACTGTCATAAGATTGGAAAACGCAAGTCATCCGTAACAACTTCGCGTAAGCTAACACAGTGGGGATGCTTAACAAAACAGGAAGGTGTAGTTGACGTTAGATAAAAGTTTATGTAGCTAGTTTTTATGTTGGTGAAGCTGCATAACATTTAAGTTTACCATTAGCTAGCTAGCTACACTGTAACTAGCTGCTTATGTTATCTATTATTGATTTGGATCACACGTGGTAATCGATTGGTTCTGCATTTTTGGATTCAGATCTCCACCCTTCGTTAGAGGTTTTGTGTGGTGGACTCGTAGTTGAGGGCAGGAATTTGGCGAGTATCTGATTTGGCTGTGGTAGTGTGTGAAAGGAGGAATCTTTTTAACGTTGTGTGGTAAGAGTCTTTTCGCCTCTCAAATACGACCCCACGAGCACTATTGATTTTCTGAGTCTAATATAGTCTACTACTCCTACCACTGCTACCACTAAACAGTCAGCAAAATGGAGGCAGTCCAATCATTTGGACCAGAGTTTACCCCCTGACCCTAGTTCTTACGTCCTCACTGAACTGGGCTTTTTCGTGGGAGGCAGTAACTCACTGTTTCCCCTCCATGAATGAAGTTCTTTGCTGGGAAAGGCTGCCTTTTGTCCTGGAATAGACTAAGCTCTTTGTTTAAAATAGGTGAATGTGAGAATTTGAATGAGGTCTTAGACGTAGTCCATTTAGTCCAGCTAGAACAGTGTTTAAAGGCCCAATTTGGCCATACTGTACTGAAAGTTTGAGTATATTACTATTGGTCTGAACAAACCTGTAAAAGCTATAGGAAGCTTTTGATAGCCAATGTTTAATTACTGTTCATCCATATACTAAAAGATGTGTCACTTAGTGAGCTGTGGAAGATTCCTGCCCTGTATGTTGAGTTTATCTTGTGCAGCCACACATTAATCACAGATTGTGTCTTTGGTGTAAAGTGAGAAAAGAGGGCAAGCGGCAGTGCTTCAGTAATGGTTTTTGATTTTGCATCTTTGACTGAAAAGTTATTTTTTATGCACAGCGATTTCAACAGCGTCAACAGTGGCAATGATATTCTGGTTGATATGATGACGAAGTGCTTAAATGCTGGAACTGCTCAGTCTGTATGCTTCCTCTGCATTATTCAGAAATTAGACTACAAGAATGAGGCATGATGTGAAACACCATATCTGGTTATATTACGTCCACTTAGACACCATTGTAGCTATCCTGCATCATTGCACAGCAGTAATGTATTTGCTGATCAGTGACTGTTCATGTCTCTGAACAGGGTAGCTGTCTCCCCCGTGAATACTGATGCATTTCATTTGAGCTTGTGCACTCAGCCCAGATCAGATTCCTTTCATAGGCCTAATGTGACTGTTTTTGCCTTTTAGCCGCCTTTCTATCTTTCCCTTTACAAAAAGGAAAAACAGAGTTTAGAGACTGTTACTCAGAAAAAGGATAGAATTTCAGTAATGACTACGTAAAAGGCTGTGGAAATCTTGACTTGCTTTGTCTTTTGAGCTAAAGCCAACTACTGACTAATGACAAATAATGTCATGACATGACTCAGGATTCAGCCCACAACCATATGATGTAGCTGAAGCCAACTTCAAGAACATTTATTGTTTGCAGGATGTGTCATTTTATGCTAATTCCTTATGATAAACCAGGAGGGTATTTGTCAGCTTCAGCTGTTCGGCTCCCTCCAGTGTTACAGCAGATGGAGGTGACCTTGACCACTGGAAGGCTGTAGCATTAATGACTGTTATGGAGTCTTGTGGTTTTTATCTGTTTTCACCATGCACACCATACATTTAGTGTAGGTGCTGTTCTCTATAAAATGCATCGTGCTAGTCATCAGTCAAAATTATTTTAACGATACCATGTGCTGACAGCTGGTTTAGCAAGTCTGCCCTGGGATGTTGAGGGGAGGGGTTGTGCAGCAAACTGTTAAATTCCAATAGCTGCCAAGTGCATTCATTTCTTTTCATCAAGACAAGCAAGGCAATGTACAACCATCACTTTTATTTTTGTAGTCCTGAAAAAAATAGTATAAAACAGCAACATTTTGTATTTTTGATGTACAGCACAGATGGCATTTAGTGAAAGCACTACAGGTCTTTATGATGGCTGTTTGTATTTATGGTGATATCAGAATTTATGATATTCTTTAACACTCACAGTAAGCTATGCTGAGAAAGGGTATAATCTTAACATCTAAAAGCTCTTCTTTGTCCTCTCTCTTTGTCTTTTGCTGCCATTGTCACCCTCAGGATGGTATTGTCAATCCCACGGTCAGAAAGGACATGAAGGGCTCTCAGAAGCTTTACTGCTGTCCCATTGAGGGCTGTCCCAGGGGGCCCAACAGACCCTTCTCGCAGTTCTCCCTGGTTAAACAAGTAAGCTTTTCCTCCAGTGACTTGTAAGCCTTTGCATGCAATCACAGTAAAATGATGAGGTGTCAGTTCTGTGAAAGAGCTCTTATTGTAATACTCAACACCAATATGTTAGAAAAAAAACATTTTGCAGGAATGATGTCATACTGGTGGAGTTCATCACAGATGTAATAATGGTTTTACACAGTGTATGAAAAGGACTGCAAAGGGCTCTACATTCTTTAAGATAGTAATGACATATGTCAAACACACTGTAATTTTTCTATTGCTTTGGAATCTCTCAAGCAAAGCAATAACAAAAGTCAAGAGTTTGCTGACATCGTGAAGTAGCATGGGAATGTGGGAGTTGTTGTCTCTCATTGCCGTCAGCTACTCCCAGTTAGGATTCCTTCAGTGTCGGTTAGTGAGGAAATTTTTACCAGGAGCTGAATTATTCATAGAGGTCTCCTCCTCTCCAAAACAAATTGACCAGGTGTTTAAACCGGTAAAGCACTGAACAGTTTCACATAAAAAACTGACCCAAAGGTGCAGCAAGCCAAACTACCACTAACGTTTGCTCAGCTTGTTTCTCTGATTACTTATGATCCTGGAGTTCAGGATATTTTTACCGAGAGCTGAATTACCCTCAGAGGTCTCCTTGCTAAAACAAATGGACCGGTGATGAAATCAGGTAAAAACACTAAATAAAACAGCTTCACTTTAAAAATCAGTGTTTCCTTGGCACTGTTTTCGGCAGATACAGGACAACTCAAAGGGACTGGGAGCTGAGCTGCCGCTAACATTTGCTCAGCTTCTTTCTCTGATAACTTAAGATCCAGACGTTTGGTGACTAAAATCCTTCATCCGGTTAAAATATATAGTTAAAAACGACCAATATCTTAAGTGTAGTGTAAAGATGTGGCTTAAAACTGGATAAAAATTCAATTTTGACCACTTCTGGCAGACTACCACAATGCTGACGCATGCTCAAAGGGGATATGTCGCCGTTGACAGGCAACCAGATGAAACGGACTGTTGCTTTGATTAAAATTACAGAGTTCTTTGTTTGAAAATTTATGTAAACATTTGGGATAATGTAAGTAGACAATTCAACATAATATACAGTATATCATAGATCTAGTCGATTTTAGACATTTTAATGTGGAAAAGTTACATATTATAGCTTGAAAAAGATATCATATTCAATATATTCTTTGTTCTTTGATCGGTTTCATTGTAGCACTTTATGAAGATGCATGCAGAGAAGAAACACAAGTGCTCCAAGTGCAACAATGGCTACAGCACAGAGTGGGACCTAAAGAGGCACATAGAGGACTGTGGGAAGACCTACCACTGCACATGTGGATGCCCCTATGCCAGCAGGGCTGCTCTACTATCACACATCTACAGGACAGGACATGAGATTCCCACAGAACACAGGCATGTACATTCATAGTGGAGAGTGTTTTTTATTGAAACTTTGTATTAGGTTTGGCTAAAAATCCATTTTGGCTGACTTTTTCTGTATCTGTTTTGTTTCTTTACAGAATTCCTCCAGTAAAAAAGCGAAAGATGGAGAAACTGTTAAGTGGTTCTGAAAAGGTTAAGAGCATTGAGTCAAGCTGTCAGATCATTCCTGCTACTAAAGAGCTGACAGAGACTGCTCTCCCTTCTCATACAACTGTTCAAATCCCAGACTCAGTGAGTCAGAACTCCAACCCACGTAAGAGCCTCCAGAAGTTGCTTCTACCAAAGCCCAAGATGGCATTGGTTAGTGTGCCTGTGATGCAGCTAGCGCACCTGCCTGTCCTCCTTCCATCCACAGAAAGTGGGGCTCTGAGGTCTGTAGTGCTGGCAGTAGACACCCAAGGCTCCCTCAGCACTCTTCACCTCCTGCCACAAGCCACAGGAGCGGTGGTACCCCAACTTGATGCTAAGAGTTTGGGTTTCAAGGATAGCATGCCTACTTCCCGTTCTAGCCTGGGGCCCATTAGCACAGGGGTCCAGGTCAGTCTGGATGCAGAGGACTCGCCCAGCAGCTTGGCAGGACAACCAACATTCACCTCCACCAACATTCAGACAGACAAATCATACTTGTCAAAAATGCCCACAGGGTTGGGTGTTGGGGAGGGAATAGGCTTGTGCTCTGTGGGTGAGTCCTCAGTATCATCCTGCTCCCAAACAGACATCAGCGTGAGTGCTCAAGTCCTCCTCCCCGTCAGTGTTGAAACCCAGACATTCTCCTCCCGAGCCAAAGCCACATCTTCTATTGGAGCTCAGACAGATAGCCAGTGCCTGAGCCAAATTCCTTGCTCCTCTTCATCTGTGCCCCCATACAAAACCAGGCAGACACAGACACATTTTGCCATGCCACAATCAGAAGAGAAGGCTCAGGACCAGACTATCATGTGCACTGACCTATTTGATAATGACTCCCTGAGTGTCTCCACCCAGACAGCTCTGGACTTAGATGACACCCTCACTGCTGCAGGAGACAGTATATATGAGGACTCAAAGTCAGCAGGTGGTATGTGTTTTGGGGTGCAGACAGATGAGCTCAACTCAAACAACATGGCAGACAACCAGACCCAGACAATGACCTTGTTAAATGACTTAGAAAACATTCTGTCTGACAGCATGTCAGGCCACCAGGTGCTCACTGAGGCCTCCGCAGGCTGTGGTTCAGGTCTGGGCTCTGTTCAGGAGCAACACAACGGCATAGACTTTGACTTTGAAGAGTTCCTCAATGCCGTGCACATCCAAACACAGACAGAGGAGAGTGAGTTGGGAGGATTGGGCAATGACACGCCTCTGGAGTCTCTGGACATCCAGACCCAGACAGACTTCCTCCTGATTGATGAATTGGACCAAAGCGAAGGACCAAGTCGAACCCAAGCCAGCGACCTGGAGCTATTTGATACTCAAACTCAAACTGACCTCAATTTCCTGCTGAACGCTGGAAGCCACATGCCCCTGAGCAGCATCCTGCGACATTCAAGCTTTTCTATGAGCACCGAGTCCTCAGATACAGAAACACAAACCGATCTCCCTTCATTTGCCACTGGCCTCTCTGCTCAGACCCCTGTCAGTCAGGGTGAACATGCACGGCTGCTGAACAGCACAGAGACACAAACTGTGACCAGCCAAGCAGAAGGCCTGGGACACCTCTTCCTGACCAGCAACGAAACACAAACTGTCATGGATGATTTCTTGTCAGCAGACCTTGCGTGGAATATGGAGTCCCATTTCAGCTCCGTGGAAACCCAGACATGTGAGGAGCTTTGTGCTCTCTTTCAGCACCCTGAGAAACCCAACAGCTGAAGCCCTCTTAGTGAAGCTGCTTAAGCTTTTGCAGTACAGGTCTCTGATATCTGCCTCTTCCTGTAAGAGGAATCAGTCTATGCTGTCTTCTGGTGGACCATAGTCTTAGCAGTAAGAAGTCTGAAAATGTCTTTGAACATTCCACTGAGGTCATCATGTCCAGAGCCTTTCCAGGTGTATATCCTGGCTGCTGTGCTGCACTTTATTAGCTCAGTGGGCATGGTTTATCAGCTCCTCTGACCGTTTACATATTTATTTGCACATGAAGTAACATATTGTATGTGTCTTGTCTTAAATGCCAGTTTACTTCTATATTTCAGTGTATAACCACTGTGGATGGTTTTCACTGTTTGGTCTTACTAGCAATTTAAAAATGACTTAACATTTCATCAATGTTAGATCTGCACTTAAAAGGGATGACATCTTTTGCTGTGCGTGGCTGTCAGGAAAAGGCTTATAAAATTGTTACCCTGTATAACAGCTTTCAGATATGCATATACCGCATGAACACAGTTTCATCTCAATCGTACAGTGCACAATATTGTACATGTAGATTACGTATGTTCGAAATGTGCATGGAGCCTTCACTTGGTCAGCAGCACAAACATAAAATATCAATTCTCCGCTTGTGTATCTGATGGATGCCTCTTTGATGTTGCCTTGTCAGCAGCAGCAAAACTATAAACTAGTAAACCAGTGGAAAACTTGAGCAGTGATAATCAGTTTTAGAGAATTAAACCCTGTAAAGCCTTCAACTAGGCATTGATCCAAGCTGTTAAGATGCATCTCTGAAATATACCGTTACTCATACAGATGTGGCACAAGTATAAATGAAATGTTTGTCTTGTCGGTTGTTGCAGACCTTTCATTGAAATGTGATTGTGAAGTTTGATGTTTCGTAAACACGTTTTTTGTGTCTGGGTCTCCATAGCTAAGCAGTCAGTTCAAGTCAGTAAGCAAAATAGGCTGTCATCGTCTGTGACTTATTCATTAGCTGGGTGTAAGTGTATACAGTAGCAGTGCTCTGTGCTGAAGTGATCCAGTGATGTTAACTGTACAAAAACACATTGTGGATTAGAGCTAGGATTAGCACAGAGTTATTGTATGTATTCACCACCTGATTTTGACTGAAAGGAGTCCTGTTGAATATCTTCTATGAAAATGATTAGTTTCCACTCCTAACAATTTGGACACAGTATTTTAGTTTATTGTAATTATTTTTACTCTGTTCTCCAAGCATTTAAACTTAATGTTTTGATTGTGTTTTTCATTATACTGTTGCACTGAGTTACCTCATTATCCACAGGCACCACATACAGACTGCGTTCCACTAGGCAATATAGAGCTGTAGGCCTTGTTTATTTGTTCATTTTGTTACGTTGGTGCCTTAACCTAAGTATTAACTTTAGTTCTGTTACAGACAATTGAATTTGCTGCTTTGAGGTAAAATATTTATCAGAATTATACAAGAATATGTTTTGGAAAATCACACTAAAAAATTGTCAGAATCCTTTCTGTCTTTGCTTTGCATGTTTAGTACGTTCTGTATTGGTATTTTCATCATGGTTGCATGAAATATTGGAATGTCCCTAATTGTTCTCCATAGTTTCTATGGAAAGATTTATGTCCTGAAAATAATGCTATGCAGCATTTTACTGAAGAGTTTGTTTGATGCCATCTTACTATTTTTATGGAGGGATGGTTAATGCTGATACAGTTTATAGATGTTTGTAGAAACTGAAGAATGTACAGAACATGACACTGTGCCCAAGTTTAACATGCTCTATTTTTTGCACCATATCCAAACAGTTTAAGGATAATTTCCATTTGTTAATAAGGATTTTTGACATTCATATCAACTTCAACATTTGTTGTATTTACATTAGTACTTCTTGGTTGTGGTTCTTGAATACAAATACAGCATAGCTGCTCCCCGCTGGTTTAGTGGCATGGGGGAAAATGACTTGCTTACAACAGAACTATGTGTAGAAGCCATGTCAGTCTCAAGTGTCAGTGCTTTATTTTCCCTTCTGTAAGAAGTGCATGCTGATATTTTCCCAGCACAAAATATTTGTTTTAACTGAATTTGAGTTTTCTTGCCTGTAGTAGAGTTAATGGTTGCCTTGATTAATTGTTGAAGCTACACTACAGATGTCATTAATAAACTGCTGGAAAGTATATATTGTATTCCTTATCAGTTAGTATAGAACAAAGGTAGAAGAAGAAAAACTCAAACAGTACAAACAAGGAAACTGGGGTACATGTTGCCACAATCAGTGTCTACAAAATGTAAAAAAGGTTATTTAGTTAGTTAGACTCTATTGTCCCTGGTAGGAAATTCTTTTTCACAGCACTGTACATCACAGGGAAAATCAGCATTACACTTTACACACAACATCATACAATAATGACAGGAAGAAATATGTGAAGTACAACACAACAGCGACAGGCAAAACAACATGAGAACAAGACATGTAGTACCAAACCCATTCAGAATGGAACAGTTTAGGGCAGCTATTGCTGCAGGTACCAGGCTTTTGTCAAAGCAAGGCCTTCTGCACCCCAGGGACATGTATCTGTGCCCAGAGGGCAGTACAGTGACATAGTGGTTGAGTGGGCCTGTGTGATGTCCTGTGCTATTGTATTTGCAATACATGTGATGGCCCCAGAATTAAGCTCTGTGAGGTTGGATGTGGGAAGACCTATTATCCTGGCAGCAGTCTGGGTTATGTGTGTGAGTTTGGCCCAGTTTGCGAGAGAGAGCATGTTGAAGAAATGGTTGGAGCAGTAGATCAGGATGGGTTGAACAGTACATTGGTACAGCGGTAGGAGGAGATGGAGGGCAACATGGAGTCCTTTTGGGTTTCACACATCAACCACGTTTGGCATGGGGATATAAAATGCACAGATTTTGATGATTCCTTCTTCAGTGTGCAATGTATTTTGTTCTTCTGTGCAAAACTACAAGCTTAAAGGAGCACCATGATAGATTTCAGTAGGTTGACCCTTTCTCATACTTATTATAGAACAAAATAAAACTTCATAGTATTGTGTATTTCATCTTTTTACTTTGATGCTGTTATATAGACACATACAGACACGCTGAATTGAGGTTTGTGCCAAATATAACAACCCTTTACAAATCAGTTCTAAGTAACCATTTTATTTTATGTGCACATTCAGGTAAGACAAACATTTGATTTGATTAGGTTAACACTGCAGCTCTTTTGATTATAGAACAATTCCACTATATTATTCTTTTATTTTACAAGGCAGCTAAACCCTAAAGAGGTAGTGTAATAAGTAACAATCATCCAAGTTTAAAAAGTATTGCAGGATGTGGCTGGTCTTAGGAGACCAACATGCCATGCAGTATATTCAGGGATCTCGGCATAATATTGCACTGATAACCCTTGTACACTGTACAACCCAGACCCCATCCATAGCCACCAGGAAACACTTATACCTTCCGATATAAAACTGAAGGTGCACTGAGCAGATGCAGTAGTTTGGCCACAGCTTATATCATGCATAGACAGAAACTACAATGCGATACTAAAGTTCTGACAGAGCTTTAGTGTAGGTTGTAGTTTAAAAAGCAGAACATGTGCCTGGCAGGCACATAGCCAGGCTTCTTATGAGGTAGTTGCACCGTTGCTAGGTAACTAGAACAGCTGAAAAAACACTTGTGGGAACTAGTCAGAACAAAATAAAGGCCCAAATGACATATGGAGCGTAACATTTCAACATTGACAATTATTGTTATTGTAAGTATGGTCTGACATGTGCCAAAGAGGACTGACTGAACTCTTAACACTAAATGAATTACCTCTGCAATGAGTTACTTTTATGAACACGTTTCATACATTGATTTAATTCTTCCAGCTGACTATTGTAATGGAAATACCATATGATGCATTGGTAAAACAGATTTTACTTTGTTGAACCTGAGAGTTTAAAGCTGTAAAATACTGAATACTAATTTCACAGGCCTCACACAGAGTGACAGCATACAGTATTAAGAAAACAGGCAGCTGGGGTGCATATGGGCTTGTGCACCTGCTGCAGTGCTGGTGTGGAGGGCCTGTGTGAGGCTCTTGCCCATTGAGTATCTCCTGTGGTGCACTGTGTCAGGTCTCGAAGAAACAGGTACCTGATACCTCTTGGAGACAGAAACACTTACAGCAGAGAACAAGTGGGGGTTATGTTGACATGTCCGGTACTTGGAGGTCAGAGCTGCGGAGTAATTGGGAAGCTCTGTATTAACAGCAGGGTCCACTCTTGTTCCTCTTGTCTCACTCTTATTATCAAACATGAAACAGTTTTCCTCTAAGGTTTCTCCCTCTGAAGCCTTCCTCCCACTGCAGAGTTGGCCACCGACCTTGGGATTCAGGTGTGGTGACTTGATTGGTGGTAAAAATGTGAAGTTTTTAATGGGAACAACTGTATTATTGGACTTGTGGCTGTGGCTGACTCTCTGAGGCTTAGTGGGCTTATTCTCTGACACAGAGTATTTTAAAGACAGATGCTGAGGCTGCACAGGAGTCCCTCTGAGCATCCCTTCCGCCTCCATCTTTTCTTCGAGTAAGAGGTGTGACGTAGTTTTCTGCATGGCACTGAGGACAGGCCATTCTGAGGCATCTGGCTGCAGGGCTGCCACAGGAGTGTTACTCCAAGATCCCACCTGCTGATTTAATGGCATGGATTTCTTTAAGTTGTTATGAGAGCCTGCATGCGACTCACAGCTGGCTGAGCTGTCTGCATTAAGGAGTGTTGGGTCAACAGATATGGTGGTTGGGTTGTCAGCCTCCTTGTGCTTTGGTTTCCTGTATCTCTTCTGAGTCAAAAGTATGCAGCTCAGTGGAGCAACTCTGGCCCAACCTCGGACCTGTTTTACAATGAAATAAATTGTTCAATATGAAAACAGTTTTGAAAACACACCAGAGAAATTACTTATTAGGCCAAGTTAAAATGAAAAGTGAGGAAGTTGAAATTATGCTAATATTGATATGTGATATTGTATCAATATGATACCAATATCTGACAAATTACCATATAGATAAGGGTTATATCAACAGTTGAGAATATAATTAATCAAAAATTATATTATATATTATATTATATATATTTAATAGTTGTTCTCATTTGAGCCTGTAGGTTATATAATTTTGCTGCTGACTCCAAACTGTGTTAGAGGACACACAAAGAATCATCATATATAACTGGTACAACTCACTTTAAAGGTAACATTAAGTACATCAGATAAAAGCAGGCAGTAAAAAGTTTTGTAGCAAGAATATATTCATTCACTTACAGCTTCTTCCAAACCAGAGTAACAGTGATACTCATGTGGCTCCAGTTCTTTCAGGGAGTCCTCCTCACTAATATCTAGAAGGACATCAACATGTCTCCTCTCTGGTGTCCTGTAAGGCTCTTCCCCAACTGCGTCCTCTTGTGTTGGAAGCTCCTCGTCTGATCCACCGACAGCTGTGCGAGCCACTTCTTTAAAGGTCGCCATTATTTAGTTAGCTTTTGTAGATCTAGAGGAGGACATAAAAAACAGAGTATAGGCTACCAAATATAAACTGTAAAATGTAGCCTATATTGTTTTGCGCAGAGTCAGTTTTTGCCTGAAACCTGGAAAACGTTACACCAGTTTGTCAAAGTCAGACTTCACTCACCATACTGAGGCAGGCTCAATCCCTGTTGCATTTTGAATGTGTTTGTATCACTATTCTCTTGTCAGAATTCACCACTCATAAAGAAGTATTGCTATCCGTCGTGAGGAGTAGTTTTCTCTCTGGTCGACAGAGTTTTCCCTAACAGACGTGTAGAGGCGACGAATGCCTTTAGAGACTAGCCGCAACGCTGTAGTCATGACAACCCGTACGTGCGGCACCGGAAATATGTGACGTACAGAAAATGGGAGGGGATGGGCTACTGTTGCAGCCCTGACTGGCCCAGATGAATTATTACATCTGTTATGTAATAGGTCTAACTACATCACAAAAATGCCCCAAACTAAGTTAAAATGTGTTTAAAATAAATTTTTATTTCTTTTATTTGGCCTATCGAGGTCACTATGATGCCACAGTGTGAAAAAGCGGAAGTTAACCGGTGGTTCTGAGGAGGAAACCATCTTGATTAGTTGCGACGTTCAGTTCTGCACGTAGATCCTCAGTAGCCGTCAAACTCTGAACACAGGTTCAAGTCAGCTGTGAGAGGACATTGCATGTTCACCACATGGAGACGGAAGCGAGCGCTGGTTGTTGTGAAGAGAGAGGTATTCTCGTTTTATCCTTTTTTTTTGCAGTGAGCAGACAGTGAGATATTTTATTCACACACTCCGAAATTTAAAAGTGACCGATCAGCTGGAGCAAACTCGCACGTTGCACAACAACAGCTTGGTTTATTGGTGCAGCCCTGCATAGTGTCAGCTTCTGACGCAGCCTGAGCACCTATCCGCGAGGGGGACACTGACACCTGACGGCTCCATCTCTTAACTCTCCGGTATTTTTCATCACGACCACTTCGGTTCTGCAGTGCAGGGACTGCTGCGTTTTATGGAAACGGAGTCTGGGCATACTGTCGTGGTCATGCTGCCTCCAAAGAACTGCCTGCCGAGGAACTACAGCTGCATAGCTGGACTGTTCGGAAGCCTGGCAGCGGCAAACCCGCGGCTTGATGATGGGGAAGACTTTGACTTGATGAACGGTACTACTTGTGAGCCCATCGAGAGCCCCGTGGTGGACGAGAGACCACGGGGCAGAGAGGTTTTCCAGAAACCTCAGCAGAGTCCAAACCTGCGTCGGAGATGCAAGTCGCTGCCTACACCCACAGAGAGAGCAAAGTTAGAGATCTCCCGCAGCAGAAGTCCAACCAGTCAAAAGAAAGTCCGGTTCGCCGACTCTCTGGGCCTAGAGCTCATTTCAGTGAAGCATTTCGATGATACAGATGTGCCAGAGGTGCCAGAGCGCATCCTGGCAAAACTACCCAAAGGACCCCTTCAACTTAATCATTTGGACACAAAATTCCCCCGGGCTCCTACGCAGTCTGTGTTCATGGAGTTGCAGTTTGCCAGTCCCGGCATTCTCCCCGGCTTTGAGCAGAAAGTGAGAGAGGTGAAAGTCATGTTGGAGAGCGTTGAGGCAGACGAATTCAGCCTCTCCGGTTTTGTGAGGGTGTTGAATCTGGCTTTCGAAAAGAGCGTCTCTTTGCGGTATTCATTAAACAACTGGATAACATTTATGGACAGTTTGGCGTCCTATGTTCCTAACTCAAGCGACGGTGACACCGATAAATTCTGTTTTAAGATCGTCATGCCTACCTACCTCGAAAACGGAGGCACATTGCAGTTTGCAATTAAATACTGTGTCGGCGGGGAGGAATTCTGGGACAATAATAATGGGAACAACTACAAAGTGCGGCGTCACCAGTTCAAGATATCCCCACCGCGGGAGTGGGAGAATGGATGGATTCACTTTATCTGAGCTTTGTGGTCTGCAGTGGCACACTGCGTGCGTAATTTGCGCGTAATTGATCCCCGGGTACCTTAAATACGACTGTAGCCTGTTAAAATGATTTTCTCTGCCATTGTCAGATAGCCAACATACATTTTGTGACACAGAAAATAATTTGCCCTGCTGTGGTGACAGACTGAGTGTTAAGGACCACTGTGTAAGCCTTTGGTAGGTGTCAGGTGTGGGATGCTGTTAGATAATTTGCCTTGATGTCAGGGCTCTGTACAGCTCGGTGCCCTTTGGGAGGGCATGTTCATGTTATGTAATGTAGAAACACGTGCCACGGAAAACGTGCTGGGCAATGCCGATTCCAGGCTTCACTGTTCATTTCAGGAGATGCCGTAAATTTATTAGAAGGCACAGTGTTATTAAAAATAAAATTTTAGTTTTGCATGTGTGCAAAAATATCGACTTAATAGGAAACAGCGTTGACAGACAGAAATATGCGATATATATTTTGTTTTATTCGAATAAATTTAATGTATAATTTCCCACTGTCATGCCATTGAAAATGCCTTATTTTAAGCCATGATGTGGGAAGTTGTGCATTGAATGTCATACAGTAATTTCTTTATTAGACTTGAATATACAAAATGCATTGAATAGGCACTGGGAAACGGTGTCAGTGTCCATACATCTGCAGGCTTTAATCCAGGGACCCCATACGTAGTCACAAACCTGCCTTTTACACATAGGTATATTTGCTCCTAATCAACACCAATTTTATATTTTTTCCTGCATTAATGTAAAAATTGTTAAATATTTTTGCCAAATTTACAAATCAAAGAGGCCTAACCTAAGATCTCAAAAAAGGTTGTTTTTTTTTCTGAAAAAACAATTCCCCATATTATAACAGCATCATGCATTTTCCACCAAATCACAAAGACTGATTATAAAAAATGGGCTTCAACATTCCCCTCCTGCACTGAAGGATTTTTTCCAGAATGAACCCCTTGAACGTGGCTGTTGTTCTCCCAAGGAAAATAGATTTAGTAGCCGTATCAAAGATAAAATTTACCTCAGATTACTTGTGGACTTTTTCCCATCTTCTTCAGGTTGATCGATATAAAACAGATGTTATTTTCACAGTAATAATTTTCTAACAGATATGTTCAAACAGAAAAGTATTATTGTACATTTGCAGATTCAAAACACAGTGCTTATTCATTTCTAATGTTTTTGATTACACTGTGTAACTTTTTCACAGAGCAGTGTTGTCTGTAGACAAAGTAGCTATTGCACGGACGTGTGCGTTTTAACCAGCTTCTGCCCCTGTAAAGGTACATGATAGCCATCACTGTGTAAGAATAGTGCTGCTCCTTACACTCCTCACACATGAGCAAAAGGGTATGGATCACATGACTGGCCAATATTTCCATCCATAGATTGCAAACTGTCTGATTGCTTCATTTTCATACAATACAATATGCCTTGATGTTACACAGTAGTCTTCCAAACCTGCTCCTGATCATGTACGCATTCTTTATGGCAAACAGACTCTCTTGTTTCAGGCACATTTGTTTACCTAAATGCAGTTATTCATCATGCTTTTTCTTTAGTTGTATCATAATGTCAGTGTTTGTGAGTGTGTGGAGAGTTGAGACTCCAGTTCAGTAAGTAGAAGAACAGCCAGAGTGCTTTTAATTTCCACGCTCTGACTGTAATCTCAACATCACTTTGGGCTTTGTTTACATCATCATGGCCTCAGAGGGATGCTCTCCACTGAACGAGGCCATCAGGTCGGGATGTGGATAAAAGACTATTCCTGTAACCACTTAGTTTTTTTGGAGCAGCTCCACTGTGAATCCATCACTGTTTGTCTCAAAATCTGACACGGTTTGTGTCATTGCAGCGCTACACCTGATGTTGTTAGAATAGTTTTTTTTTCTAAAAATGAGACATGGCCTGTGGTGAGTTGACATTTACTACCACTCAGCTTAGCTTTATCATGTACAGAGCTGCATATATCTCATCTGTTCATTTAAATACACTGTGGTTATAAAAGGTCTGGCCATAGCAGAGCTTACTGTGTGTTATGTTGTTAGATCAGTGGGTATTTACATATTGTCTGCTTTGGTGTATGTAAACTTTGTTCAAGCATCCATGCTGTGCAAGGCCAAAAAGCATTAATTATCCAGGATGAGACGACTGATTTGGGGATGGAGAGATGCATCAATACCAATCAATCGCTCCCAACAAAGGATGTGATTTTTCAAATTTTACCATTTGGCTGACATCTGATCAGATTTGCTCTATATAGTGTTGGGAGTGACTGACACAAATGACAGTGTGAATATGATATGTGCTCTGTTTTCCATAACACGTAACTCTGGTTAAAGTTTCCAAAAGCTGTGAAAACTGTTGTTATTGGTGCATCCCCACCATAAGAAGGGCTTCTGGTTTGATTAGATTTTCACCTCAATGTACACATAACATTTTGCATCAGAGTTCACTGATATATAGATATGTATGTAAATGTGTTAATGTTTCATATTGAATGTCTTCCTATTACTGTTCTATGTTGTGTGTATTTTGAAGCATTTTAAAAGCAGACTTGAGGGACGTGAATGGTAAAAGTTTGTTATCTGATGATCCTGTGAAGCTGGAAGATAAATTGTGAACCTAAACTTAAAGAATTCCTAAAAGCACACTTACGGATGACATCATTCTTCAGGGCCGTTTAAAATAAGGCTGATGATAGAATTGGCGGTAGCATGAATTGTGATATTTTGTCTCAAAATGATGTTTTATATGATGGTAAGATATTGCAGAATTTTGCCTGAAATGCAGACCAAAATGTGAGCAGTGTATCTGAATGAAATGAAACATTGGAAACCACATGTGCACAGCTATAGGTGTACACTGCCTTACTAAACCCTAAGTTTACTTAGAGACATGTAAAAAAAGATGGGAGATGGCAAGTGCTGGTTTGTTAAGAAATAATGTGACGGCAGAACATGTGAACAATGGACAATGATGATGACCATATCTGGGAAAGAGGGATAACATGAGATGCACTGTGGCGTTTGGAGTTTTTGACCTGAGTGACTTATGATTGTAGCTGATACTGAGCAGACTCAGTCAAAGCAGGTCTTATGCACTTTGAGTGAGAACAAGGAAAGGGGCATGGTAGATAAATGAAAGCTTCTCCTGTGAATAGCTACTAACCAAGATGTTTTCCTTTCTTTCTCATATTTTATTGCACTTTTCTCTCACTGTGGAAAACCTCAATCACCTCTGTCAAATTTATAACCATTGTATGGCACTGGATTTTTTTTTTTCCTGGTTTGCTTTCTAGTCAGTGAGTTTATTGTTT